ATCCCTTGTCAATTACGCTGTGTCCGCGCCCCTACCAGGGCAACGATCCATCGTAAATTACGCTGCGTCCGAGCTCCCAGGGCCACGATCCCTCGTAGATTGAGCTGCGTCCGCGCTCCCAGGGCCACGATCCCTAGTATATTACGCTGCGTCCGATCGGCCTGGGCAATGATCCATTTTAAACTACGCTGCGTCCGCGCTCTCAGGGCCGCGCTCCCTTGTAAAGAATGTTGCGTCCGCGCTCCCAGGGCCACGAGCCATTGTAAATTACAATGCGCCGCCCTCCCTGGGACACGATCCCTTGTAAACTACGCTGCTTCCGCGCTCCCAGGGCCGCGCCCCCTCGTGAATTACGCCGTGTCCGCGCTCCCAGGGCCACGATCCTTTGTAAATGACGCTGGGTTCGCACCTCCGGGGCCAAGATCCCTCGTCAATTACGTTGCGTCCGTGCTCCAGGGATCAGGATCCTTTATATACATTACGCGGCCTCCGCTGGTTTCGCCGACGGCCGGTTTCGCCCGGCTGGTTTCGCCGCTCGGCGAAACCAGCTGCCGTCGGCGAAACCAGCTTCCGTCGGCGAAACCAGCTGCCGTCGGCGAAACCAGCTGCCGTCGGCGAAACTGCCCGATCCGACCTGCCCGCTAGGGCCCGCCCGCCCGACCCGACCCGACCCGCCCGTTAGGGTTCGCGCGTGTTCGGTCGAGCGCGCCCCACACTTCCTTGTCGCGCCCAGTCGGCCCGACTCGCCCGTCCGGGTCTGCCCGCCCGCCCCGACCCGACCCGCCCGCTATAGGGTCTGCCCGCCCGACCCGACCCGCCCGCTAGGGTTCGCGCGTGCTCGGTCGAGAGTGCCCCACACTTTCATGCCCGGCCCGACCCGACCCGCCTGTTAGGGTCCGCCCGCCCGACCCGCCTCGACCCGACTCGCCCGCTATAGGGTCCGCCCGCCCGACCCGACCCGCCCGTTTGGGTTCGCGCGTGATCGGTCGAGCGCGCCCCACACTTTCATGTCCCGCTCGCCCGACCCAGTCCGCCCGTTAGGGCCTGCCCGCCCGACCCGACCCGACCCGCCCGCTAGGGTCCGCCCTTGCGACCCGACCCGCCCCCGCAAGCCAGACCCGGTCCGCCCGTTCGGGTCCGCCCGACCCGACCCGACTCGACCCGCCCGCTAGGGTCCGCCCGCCCGACCCGACCCGCCCGTTTGGGTTCGCGCGTGATCGGTCGAGCGCGCCCCACACTTTCTTGTCGCGCCCGGTCGGCCCGACTCGCCCGTCAGGGTCCGCCCGCCCCGACCCGACCCGCCCGCTATAGGGTCCGCCCGCCCGGCCCGACCCGCCCGTTAGGGTTCGCGCGCGTGCTCGGTCGAGTGCGCCCCACACGTTCATGTTCGCACCGACCCGGTCCGCCCGTTAGGGTCCGACCCGACTCGACCCGCCCGCTAGGGTCCGCCCGCCCGACCCGACCCGCCCGTTTGGGTTCGCGCGTGATCGGTCGAGCGCGCCCCACACTTTCTTGTCGCGCCCGGTCGGCCCGACTCGCCCGTCAGGGTCCGCCCGCCCCGACCCGACCCGCCCGCTATAGGGTCCGCCCGCCCGGCCCGACCCGCCCGTTAGGGTTCGCGCGTGCTCGGTCGAGCGCGCCCCACAGTTTAATGTCTTGCCCGCCCGTCCCGACTTGCCCGTCAGGGTCCGCCCGACCGACCCTACCCGACCCGCCCGCTAGGGTCCGCCCGCCAGACCCGACCCGCCCGTTAGGGTCCGCCCGCTCGACCCGACCCGGCCCGCCTGCTAGGGTCCGCCCGCCCGACCCGACCCGCCTGCTCGGATGCGACGCCCGACGCCTGGCGACGACGACGACGACGACGACTACGACGACGGCGACGGCGGCGACGGCCACGCCGACGGCGACGACGGCGTCGGCAAAACCAGCGCCGGCGAAGTCAGCGCCGGCGAAAGCAGCCACCAGCGAAACCAGCGGGGCGAAACCAGCGGGGCGAAACCAGCGCCGGCGAAACCAGCGCTGGCGAAACAAGCTGACCCCCGCTTCCAGGGCCACGATCTTTTCGTTAAAACGGTTCGACCGCACTCCCAGAACCACCTGAGCATCCTGGGGCGCCCAGGCCTCTCAATCGTTGCAAAACAAGCGTTTCGCCAAAGACATCCGCAGATATTCAGCACGCAGGGTGCGTCATCCTCGAGCGGGCACGCAAAAATCACAACGCTCCTTCTGCAAAACAAGCGCGGGGTTCGAGACCATCCTTGAAATTCCTGCTCGCGGAGCGCGCCATCCTCGAGCGGACACAAAGTCAACTGTTCCATATTATTGTAAAACTACAGGGTCTCCATACCTTGTGTTTTATCGTGGATTCTTCGCAAAACGTTCCTTGTTCTGTAAAAACGAGGGAACACGCGTGTCTACGGACCCAGTTATTTAACGAGGATCCGAGATAGGGGGCTCATTTTCCTTGAGCGGGCACGGGCGAAACGCACGCTTTCAAAAAGAATTCAGAGTTAACTTCGTATTTCATCGCGATCAAAATTAAACTACACGCAGCACGTCACTTTCTTCATATCTTTGTCTAACATTGTGGGGTTCCCACACCTTGTGGGCTATCGTGGATTTTGCGCGAAACGCTCCGCACCCCGGTATTTACATGGGACAGCGTGTGTCTGCGGACCCTATTATTTATCGAGCCTCCGAGATAGGGGCCACATTGTCTTCGAGCGGGCACGCGCGAAACGCATGTCGTCGAAACCAGAAAGACTTTAATTCGTTATGTCTCACAAATATTCCCGCCCGCCCTCTTCAAGTCAAAACCTGGGGGAACAATACTGAAAGAGAGCCCTGGGCCCACGCCCTTTCCACGAAAAAAGGCGGCTTGAGGTCAGCGCCACAGCGAGACTTCCATTTCGAAGGACCGTGGACGCGGATACGAGGCTAGTACATCAGCAGGCGCGCCATTTTGGAAGGACTGGGGGCGCGGAAGTAGCGTCGACGTTGCAGCGGGAGCGCCATGTTGCAATGAGCGCAACTGATCGAATTGAAAACGCATAAAGAAGAGCTCGTCCGCGAAAACCATTCGCGTAAAAGCCCAGACCGCGGAGATATTGGGTTGAAACAACTTACGTATTAAGAAAAAGTTCGGTCGCGCAGAACATGTGTGCGTGTGTACAAACAGAAAACAGTACGCGGAGGGGGGGGGGCGGTTACTCTCAGCACATCTTGGGGGCAGAGAGGAGAGTAGTATTCATATTGTGTAAAAGTGGAGGAGGAGGTGGAAGGATATAGGAGGGATGCAGGCTAGGTTCGCTTGCGCCATATCTGATATTGTTTCCCTTCCACCCATCCATGTCCATTGCGAGAACGAGTAGGGGGCTGGATGATGAAAGTGATGATGCTGATGCTGATGATGAGTGTGATGCTGATGACGATGATGATAATGATGGTGCTGGTAACGGTGATGGTGATGATGATAATGATGCTGATGTTGATGATGATGCTGATGATGATGATGATGATGATGATGACGAAGATGATGATGCTGATGATGATGATGCTAATGCTGATGATGGCGACGATCGTGGTGATCGTGATCGGGAAGATGCTGTGAACGGTGATCATGGTGCTGATGTTGGTGGTGATGATGCTGCTGCTGATGGTGATGATGATGGTGATGATCGTGGTGGTGATGCGGCTGCTGCCGCTGATGGTGCTGATGATGATGGTGGCGATGACGATGATGGTGATGACGATGAGGATGATGCTGATAATGATGCAGATGGTGATTCTGATGATGTTGCTGATGCTGATGTTGATGATGACCATGGTTATTATGACGCTGAGGTACTGAGGAGGAGGAGGAGGAAGAAAAGGAAGAGGGGGAGGAGGAGGAGGAGGATGATGAGGAGGAGGAGGAGGAGCACGAGGAGGAGGAGGAAGAGGAGGAGGAGGAGGAGGAGGAGAGTAGAGTTAGGGGAGAGTAGAGAGGAGATAGCAGGTAGTGCCACGTAGGAGAGGAGAGATGAGGAGGAGGAGGAGGAGGAGGAGGAGGAGGAGGAGGATGAGGAAAACGAGGAGGATGACGAGGAGGACGGAGGACGGAGGACGAGAGGATGGCGGTACCTATCACCGGGGTGTGCGCGACACCCTACGCGCTCTCGCAGTACTGGGAAGGGCGCTGGGTGTGCGCGGCACCTACGGAACCAACTCTCGCACACCCATTTGTATCCTCCTTCTTCTCTTCCTCCTCTTCGTCCTCCTCCTTCACCTCTTCCTTCCTTGTTTCATTCATCACCTCGCTGCGACTTTCGTGCTTTGGTGCCGTCGGGAAGGTGGAGGATGATGTGGATGTGGATGTGGATGATGAAGATGATGATGATGATGATGATGATGATGATGATGATGATGATGATGAGGATGAGGATGATGAGGATGAGGATGAGGATGAGGATGAGGATGATGGATGATGATGATGATGATGATGATGATGATGATGATGATGATGATGATGATGATGATGATGATGATGATGATGATGATGATGATGATGATGATGTGATGGTGATGGTGATGGTGATGGTGATGGTGATGATGATGATGATGAGGAGGAGAAGGAGGAGGGGAGGAGAGGAGGAGGATGCTGCTGCTGATGATGATGATGCTGCTGCTGCTGATGATGATGATGATGATGATGATGATGGTGATGGTGATGGTGATGGTGATGATGCTGCTGATGACGGTGATGATGATGATGATGATGATGTGAGGAGGAGGAGGAGGAGGAGGTGGAGGAGGAGGAGGAGGAGGAGGAGGATAAGGATGAGAAGGAGGAGGATGAGGATTAGGATGAGGATGCAGACGAGGATGATGGTGATAGTGATGGCGATCACGATGATGAGGAGGAGGCGCAGGAGGAGGGCAGCTCGAGCGCAGGAGGAGCAGGCGGAAGATTGGGATGCCGAGAGCGGCGGAGGGAGGAGGACAGGAGCAGAAGCGAACAGGCGCGGCTGCCCCCCCGCCCGGCGTCGGCCGGTGGATCGCTGCCCGCGCCTCGGACCCAGCAGCACATTCGGAGACGGCGCGGGCTCGGCCTCCCGCTGCAGGAGGAGGAGGAGGAGGAGGAGGAGGAGGAGGAGGAGAAGCACGAGAGAGTAGGGATGAGGTAGGAGGGAGGAGGGAGGAGGCAGGAGGGAGGAGGCAGGGGGCAGGAGGCAGGAGGCAGGAGGGAGGAGGAGGGAGAATGGAGGAGGAGGAGGAGGAGTAGGAGTAGGATGGAGGAGGAAGGACGGAGGAGGATGAGTAGCGAGGAGCAGGAGGAGGAAGAGGAGGAGGTGGAGGAGGAGGAGGAGGAGGAGGAGCAAGCGGAGTTGGAGGAAGAGGAGGGAGGCTTCCGCCGTCCAAAGTCCTCCTCATCCGTCCTCATCATGGGTGCAGTCCCCCCCTCCCGATTCCTCCCCCTCCCCCTCCTGCTCCTCCTCCCCCCCCCCCGTCTTCCCTAACAAGGCACGAATTTACGGGAACAGCACTAGCCACTAGCACGCGCCTTCCTGCCTACAAAATCGGTCACACATCGCTGTTCTCATACAGGATGGGCCACGCGCTTTGAGTACAGCGTGCGGTCGGGAGCTTTGGCTTAGCGTGTCGCTCCGTCGATTCTGGCCCACCACGCTTCGGCGCGACACGCCATCGACTTCCCAGCCCCGAAGCCAACGTCCCGAGCTGTTCCCCGCCTCCCGCCCCGCGGAGCGCAGCGACACGCTGCCAGCTCGCAGGGCAGAGCGTGTCGCCGGGGCCGCCGCCGCGACACGTAATCGAGAAGCTCCCGACCGCAGTCCCGGAGGGGAGGGAGGATGGGGAAGGGAGGGGGGATCGTACGGCTAGGACGAGGATAAATCTGTTCCAGAGCGTTCCGGAACACTCTGAGAAGGCCGCGGCGCCCGAGACAGCCTCCAGAGCCGCCGGATCTCAGAGATTCTGGATTTATCCTCAACCGATTGTATCCTCGTCATTGCTTCGTCTTAGGGAAGGCTGTCCCCTAAGACGAACGATCTTGCGCGAGTTTGCCGCTTCGATCTTGATCTTGGCGCCCAGTCGCTCCTGTATCTCGCGCTTCGTGTCTGAAGCTTTCGATCGCGAGCGTTTCCGCGCGGCGCCCGATGCATCCTCCGGAGCCGCCAGATCTCAGAGAGCCACGATGGATCACGGTCAGGCTTTGTCTCCGCCTTGGCTTTGTCTTACGAAGACTGTCAAATCTTGGCCGCCGCGGTTTCTTTTGCTGCCCGCCCCCGCCGTCGTCGCCGTTGCCGCCGCCGTCTTCGCCGCCGCCGTCGTCGTCGTCGTCGCCGTCGCCGTCGTTGTCGTCGTCGTCGTCATCGTCTTCGTCTTCGTCGGCGGCGGCGTCGGCGGCGGCAGCGGCGTCGTCGGCGGCGGCGGCGTCGGCGTCGGCGTCGGCGTCGTCCCCGTTGGGCGCCTCCCGCCCGATCTGGCGCGCTGAGGCCGTCGCGCCAGCCGGCGGCCGCCGCGGCCTCCGCGGGCGCGAGCAGGCCGCCGGCCTGCAAGCCCAGAGCGGCAGGGAGGCCCGGAGCTCAAGCCTGCCATCGCTCGGACATGTGAGCTGCTTCTCGCCGAGTGCCATCGATTGGTGGAGCAAGCAGTTACATAAACGTCAAAACTCGGATGGTCGCGCGGATTTCTTGGGTCGGCGCTGGACCCCCTCCCCGGCGCGCGGAGCGCGCCAGGGGCGGCAAAGCGCCGATCCGAGAAATCCGCGCGGGCTCTGGAGTTTTTATATGCATGCCATTGCAGGTTCCCTTGATGGAGGAGCGTCTTGGATCCTCTTGCGACAAAGCCACAAACCCACGAGACCGACACGTGCGCGGGGAATGGACGTCTGAGCGATGGCAAGCCGCAGGGCTCCTGCGGGTGGCAGGATGCCGAGGCCAAATTCTGATGATGTTCAGCATCTGGGCCAGAAGCATGCCCACTGTATTATGTCACGTTTGTGCACCACTTAGTGGCAAATGGTGGCCCATACATGGCAAATGACGGCCTGCGAGCGGCAGGAGTCAAGCAGTGGCGAAGCGTCTGTGACCCTCCTATAGGCTCACCATATCGTGTTCGAATAAGGTCTGATGGCTTGTACGAAATACCATTATAACATTTCTGGCGGACGCAGTCTTGTTTGAACACGTCGGGGTTATGGTATATAAGCACTGTTCCCTACCTAGGCTCTGCCTAGAAGGGTTCTTACCGTGTATGCTTAAAGGGCCGGGCAGTGGTCCTCGCCCCGGGCGGTTCCCCCAGTATCCGCCCCGCGGTTCCCCCAGTTACGTCCCCTTAGCTGAGCGTTGCTTAGCTCATCTTAGCTGAGCCTAGCTTAACTTAGCTTAGCCTAGCCTAGCTTAACTTAGCTTAGCTTAGCTTAGCCTAACCTAGCTTAGTTTAGCTTAGCTTAGCTCAGCTTAGCTTAGCACAGCGCAGCATTAGCATAGCATAGCATAGCGCAGCATAGCATATCATATCATATCATAGCATAGCGCAGCATAGCATAGCGCAGCATAGCATTTCATAGCATAGCATAGCATGTCATATCATATTTTAGCGCAGCACATCATGGCAAAACATAGCATACCATAGCTTAGTGTAGCATAGCGTAGCATAGCATAGCATCGCTTAGCGCAGCATAGCATAGCACAGCGCAGCATAGCAAAGCGTAGCATCGCATAGCGCAGCGTGGCATAACATAGCATGGCATAGCATAGCGCAGCATAGCATAGCATAACATAGCCTAGCATAGCATAGCATAGCGCAGCCTAGCATAGCATAACATAGCATAGCGCAGCATGTCATAGCACAGCATAGCATAGCGCATCACAGCATAGCCTAGCATAACATAGCACGGCCTAGCATAGCCTAGCATAGCCTAGCATAGCATAGCGCAGCATAGCGCAGCATATCATAGCATAGCATAGCATAGCATAGCAACGCTAACGGAACACCAATGCGAAATTGTAGATGTAGATGTAGATGTAGGCGTAGGTGTAGATGTGGATGTAGGTGTAGGTGTAGATGTAGATGTAGATGTAGGTGTAGATGTAGATTTAGATGTGAGTCTCGCTTTTGATGTTCATGTAGATGTAGATGCATGTGTAGATATTAATGTAGCTGTCGGTATAGATGTAAATGTTGCTTTCCTAGATGCTCCAACTCCTAGGTCGGGTCCTGGGATAATTTTGGTTATTCCAGGAAAGGGCGCGGGCCCAGGGTTCTCTTTTAGTAGGTTAACCCCCCGGCCCCCCTGCGACTTGGGCCGGCGAAATAATTTTGCGATAAATTACGTGCGGGAGTAGGGCCGGCGGAATTATTTTTGAGGATGTCCCTAGCGAAACGCTTGTTTTTCCCGGAAAGGGCGCGGGCCCAGGGTTCTCTTTTTCCCGGAAAGGGCGCGGGCCCAGGGTTCTCTTTTAGTAGGTTAACCCCCCGGCCCCCCTGCGACTTGGGCCGGCGAAATTATTTTGCGAGCGGGCACGCACGGAGTAGGGCCGGCGAAATTATTTTTGAGGATGTCTCGAGCGAAACGCTTGTTTTTCAGAATTTGTTGAGGATGTCTCGAGCGAGACGCTGGTTTTGCAGAGTTGGGGATGTCTCGAGCGAAACGCTTGGTTTCAGAATTTGTTGAGGATGTCTCGAGCGACACGCTGGTTTTGCAGAGCCGACCGCGACACGGAAAAGCGCCCCTCGCGCAGGAATTCCAAGGATGTCTCGCGCGTGCCGCGTCCCGCGCGCGGGTATTTGGATTTCTTGGGATTTTGACAGGATGTCTCGAGCGAAACGCTTGTTTTTCATAATTTGTTGAGGATGTCTCGAGCGAAACGCTGGTTTTGCAAAATTGGAGGATGTCTCGAGCGGTGGCCTCGTGGGGGGCCAGAATTCAAAGGATGTCTCAGGCGAAATGCTTGTTTTCACGTCCCGCTCGCAGGAATTCCGAGGATGTCTCGCGCGTGCAGCGTCCCGCGCGTAGGAATTCAGATGATTTTGACAGGATGTCTCGAGCGAAACGCTTGTCCCCAGCACGTTCCGTAGCGCGTCCCCTTGGCAGGTCCCGCGGTGCGTCCCCATGGCACGTCCCTTGGCACGTCGCTTGGCGCGTCCCTTGAGACGTTCTGCGTCGCGTCCTCCTGGCATGTTCCCCTGTCCATTAGCTCTGGGGCAGCTACTATGTGTTCAGGCAGCTCGAGCTTAAGATCCAGATCAGTTCGGTCAGGACTCGGATGCAAAGGAGGACTCGATCCACGAGGCTATAGAGCACAATCGCGCCATGGCACATCGCAATTCAGCACGGCGCAGCACAGCACTGATTTCGGCACGGTACATCAAGGTCGATGCACTCAGCATTGCAACTTGGCACGTTCCTTGGCACGTTCCGTGGGGCGTCCTTTGGCGAGTCCCCCTGGCACGTCGCGTCGCGCGTCCCCTGGCACATCCCGTGGCACATCCATTGGCACGTTCCGTAGCGCGTCCCCTTGGCACGTCCCGCGGTGCGACCCCATGGCACGTCCCCTGGCACGTCGCCTGGCGCATCCCTTGGGACGTTTCGCGGCGCGTCCTCCTGGCATGTTCCCCTGTCCATTAGCTCTGGGGCAGCTACTATGTGTTCAGGCAGCTCGAGCTTAAGATCCAGATCAGTTCGGTCAGGACTCGGATGCAAAGGAGGACTCGATCCACGAGGCTATAGAGCACAGTCGCGCCATGGCACATCGCAATTCAGCACGGCGCAGCACAGCACAGCCCTCGGCAGGGTACATCAAGATCGATACCTTCAGTATTGCATTTGCCCGTCACCCAATCAGGTGTTTTTGAAAACGCTGCCATGTGTTACAGTTCTACATTCCTTTTCGGGTTCGTGGGTCGATCATGTCATAATTTGTTGAGGATGTCTCGAGCGAAACATTGGTTTTGCAAACTTGGGGGATGTCTCGAGCGGGGGCTTCGTGGGGGGCCAGAATTCAGAGGATGTCTCAGGCAAAATGTTTGTTTTCACATCCCGCTCGCAGGAATTCCGGGGATGTCTCGCGCGTGCCACGTCCCGCGCGCAGGAATTTTGAGGATGTCCCGTAGCGTGTCCCCTTGGCACGTCCTACGGTGCGACCCCATGGCACGTCCCTTGGCACGTCGCCTGGCGCGTCCCTTGGGACGTTTCGCGGCGCGTCCTCCTGGCATGTCCCCCTGTCAATTAGCTCTGGGGCAGCTACTATGTGTTCAGGCAGCTCGAGCTTCAGATCCAGATCAGTTCGGTCAGGACTCGGATGCAAAGGAAGACTCGATCCACGACGCTATAGAGCACAACCGCGGCATGGCACATCGCAATTCAGCACGGTGCAGCACAGCACAGCCCTCGGCACGGTACATCAAGATCGATACCATCAGCATTGCACTTGCCCGTCACCCAATCAGGTGTCTTTGAAAACGTTGCCATGCGTTACATTTCTATATTCCTTTCCGGGTTCGTGGGTCGATCATGTAGTAGGTTAACCCCCCGGCCCCCTTGCGACTTGGGCCGGCGAAATTATTCTGTGATAAATTACGTGCGGGAGTAGGGCTGGCGGAATTATTCCCGGAAAGGGCGTCGGCCCAGGGTTCTCTTTTAGTATGTAAACATAGTCCCCCGTGCCCAACTTGAAGGAGGCCGGCGAAATTATTCCTTGATAAATATCGAGGTCGAAGGAGGCCGGCGAAATTATTTTTGAGGATGTCTCGAGCGAAACGCTTGTTTTTCAGAATTTGTTGAGGATGTCTCGAGCGAGACGCTGGTTTTGCAGAGTTGGGGATGTCTCGAGCGAAACGCTTGGTTTCAGAATTTGTTGAGGATGTCTCGAGCGACACGCTGGTTTTGCAGAGCCGACCGCGACGCGGAAAAGCGCCCCGCGCGCAGGAATTTCGATGATGTCTCGACTAATTCGTTTGTTTTTGTACGATTTCCTGGAATTTTGGCAGGATGTCTCGAGCGAAATGCACGACCCCACCCTAGCACGACCATACCCCAGCACGACCACACCCCAGCACGACCAGACCCCAGCACGACCCCACCCCAGCACGACCCCACCCCAGCACGACCATACCCCAGCACGACCACACCCCAGCACGACCCGACCCCAGCACGACCCTACCCCAGCAAGACCACACCCCAGCACGACCACACCCCAGCACGACCTCACCACAGCACGACCACACCCCAGCACGACCACGCCCCAGCACGACCACGCCCCAGCACGACCACGCCCCAGCACGACCACCCCCCAGCACGACCACCCCCCCAGCACGACCACCCCCCAGCACGACCACCCCCCAGCACGACCACACCCCAGCACGACCACTCCCCAGCACGACCACACCCCAGCACGACCACACCCCAGCACGACCACACCCAGTCGCACCCCCGTGGAATGTTTCGTGGCGTGTCTGGTTGAGTGGTTGCCTGTTCGTGGGGTGTCTCGTGGAATGTTTCACGGGGTGTCTCGTGGAATGTTTCGTGAGGTGTCTCGTG